TGCAACATGGGTCTTTAGTGATACTACAAACAACAAACAAAAAGGTTGGCTTCAGTGATGAAGGGCATTTATTGGAGTAACAAGACAATTCGGCAGCAGTTCGGGCTCAGGTGGTTTGATTGGAGAAGCCTCACAATATTGGGGATGCGACATGTCTGTCTTTTCCCTGCCACCCCTCCCTGTGCCTTCCATGGTCTCAGCCACACCCTTAGGCTGTTTCTAAATACAGCATGCTACACTGCACACTACATTGTTCAGAAGGAGAGAGAGAATTTTGCCTTGGAAGCTTTGGGGTGGGGCGGAGCGGGGGGGGGGGGGGAGTCATTCTCTAATCTCACTGTCCAAAATGGATCACAGGCCAAGCCACACACAGTGGTCAGGGAAGGCCAATATCCTGAATAGTTTTATGCAGAAGTGAAGTGAACATCCCCATAAAACCCACACCCTCTGTGAGGGAGCTGTGATTATCCTAAGAATCATGCACATGCATCACACTGTTTTCTTGGTGGTTTATCAGTAATACTCCCCCCTAAATCAAGATTCCATAATATAGTAAAAACATGCTGGAAAGAAAATTAACTTGGACCAGATGACATCACCTACTATAATGCTAAAATGTCATTTTAAAATGTTGTTTCATTACATCCTTTTCCTTTCTATAAACCACGTTTCAAATTACATTTCATGTGCGGGGGGCTTTCTTTGGCAGCTGTAGATAACTGCTCTGTTCATTACCACTTTGAGAGCAGTCCAGTTCCCAGTCTGCATCTCAAGATATCCCTTTTCTTTTATTCTAGGAAAAAGTATTACTGTCTTGAGGCATAAGGTGAACTCTCTTTAGTTTGAAAATACGATCTTACTTTGCTTTGTCAAACTGAAAAAAATAAAAGCCTCTGTGGCATGAATCTTGCAGTATTTGCCAGTATGTGAATTTAAAGTTCCTTTTGCCCTGTAGCAGAAACATGCCTAATTAATTTGGCATTGTTTTCTGTGTAGTTTCTCCTGAAGGGAGCTCCAGTTTGATTCATGATGAACACCTAATTAGCAAGTTAATTTCACTTCCTATAGGTGCTTTGCAGCTGTCCTACTACAAAAAGGGGGAAATGTCATGGCAAATTCTTCAAGTCCTCTGGTTATTTCAATCATTCAGAAAAGATTTCTTCTGTTTCCAGAAGTGTAGTGGGCATTAAAGTAGCATTAAATGTATCATCTGTGCCTTCCAGGAGGTCATCTAGCTGGGGAGGCACACCAAGCACTTAGAAACAGGTAAGGAACAAGGCAGAATGGTGTGGAACTAAAGAGCAGCAGTGGGGGAATGAAGACGGAAGAAATGAAAAAGGGCTTAATTTGGAACCCACAGAATATTGAGATTGGGTAGGTGGAGAAAGGACATTCCAAGTGTGAGGGGCTGTTGGGAGTTCCGAAGAGCATTCATATTTCATACACTGATAATAATTCACCCTTCTAAAGAGGAAGGATCAAGTTGGAGAACACAGAGGTAAGACTGGCTACTGAGAACCTTCAAACCCTGTGACAACGGAGGCTACTGTGGAACATGTCATCCAAGGAATGTGATACTAAGACTACTGGGAACTAAAACCACCAGGTTGAAAGGGAAGTAAGGAAGGCAAGGGTGACCACTATAAGCCAATGTAAGAACCCAGTAAGGGGCCAGATATTTGGCACAGCAGTTAAAACACAGCTTGGAACACTCCTATGCCACATTGGAGTGCCTGAATTCTTGTCCTGGCTCCAATTCTGATTCTGGTTTCCTGCAAATGCACATCCTGGGGCAGCAGATGGTGGATCGAATACTTGAGTCCCTGCCATCCATATGGAGATCTGGATTGAGTTCTTGGTTGCTGGCTTCAGTCTGCCCCAGACCTAACTGCTGTTGGGCATTTGAGGGGTGAACAGGTAGACAGGAAATTTCTCTCTCTCTCTCTGACTCCCTCCCCACCTTTCAAGTAAAATGAAATTGAATATGTTAAAAAAAAAAAAAAACTCAGGAGGAAGCATTGGATGGCAGCAAAGGAAGCAGGCATCTCCCTTCTTCAAAGGGTGACAATGACAAAGAAGAGTACAGTCTAATCTTGTATTGGTACGAGCAGTAGGGCTGAGTGTGAGGTCATTGTGGGGCACCCAAGGGAAATCACTCTTGTGAAGAGCTGGAGGAAGATACATTAAAATCAAATTAGGATACGATGCAATTGGAAGTTGACTTCTGGATCCCCAGAATTACCAACAGCTAGCTGCATAGTTTCTCTCCATTATAGTATTAATATCCTAGTCATGTGATTGAACTTTTTGGACTCTTAGGGCTGAAATGGGGAACATTTTTTTTTCTTCCAAGGGCCATTTGGATATTTGTAACATCATTCATAAGCCATACAAAATTATCATCTTAAAAATTAGCCTACTAGGGATTTATTGAATTTTGAGTCCCACCTGCAGTTGCCTTGGCAGGACCAGATGAAATGATTCTGTGGGCCAGCCTGTGGGCTGGACAATCCCTATCCCTGACTTAGAGGATCACTCTCTTTCCAGAAGATCTTGCAATAAAGAGGTCCAACCAGAATGTACAAGTAAAATAACACTGACTAGTAACTTTTGTAAAATATAGCAATTTCCAAGCAGCATAATGTTCATCCCGAGATAATGTGCAGACTGATGTTTTCATTGCAGTGTGTAGACAGCATGACCTGTTGCTCATTTTTTAATATTTATTTATTTATTTGAAAGAGTTACAGAGAGAAGGAGAGGCAGAGAGAGAGAGAGAGAGAGAATCTTCCATCTGCTGGATCACTCCCCAACTGGCCACAACGGCTGGAGCTGTGCCAGAAGCCTCTTCCAGGTCTCCTACATGGGTGTAGGGAGCCAAGGACTTGGGCCATCTTCTGCTGCTTTTGCAGGCCATAGCAGAAAGCAGGATCAGAAGTGGAGCAGACAGGATTTGACCCAGTGCCCATATGAGATGCCGGCACTGCAGGAGGCAGCTTTACCTGCTATGTCTATGTCACAGCGCCAGCCCCTGACCTGTTGCTCATTTGACATGAGCAAGACACACAGCTCCAGTATGCAAATGTGCCTACATGTCACCAAATTCTAAATCTAGGTGGTCTCAACTTTAGTGCACATTAATTTAAGGTTTTTATTTAAAATGAGGTTCACTGGTTCTGGTGGCACCCTACAGTTTGCATTATTAACAAGTCCCCCAGATAATCCTGCTACAGAAAGAGCAGTTTTTGTCCCCAGTTGTTAAGCTCCCCTGACCAGTGTGCCTAGCCCTTCAAAGGTGTTCAAGGGGCCAGTGCTGTGGTGTAGCATGTAAAGCCACTGCCTTCAGTGCTAGAACCCCATATGGGTGAAAGTTCCAATTCCAGCTGCTCCTATTCTGATCCAGCTCTCTGCTATGGCCTGGGAAAGCAGCAGGAGATGGCCCAAGTCCTTGGGCCCCTGCACCCTTGTGGGAGACCTGCAGAAGTTCCTGGCTCCTGGCTTCAGATCAACCCAGCTCTGGTCATTACAGCCATTTGGGGAACCAGCAGATAGAAGACTCTCTCTCTCTTTCTCTCTCTCTCCCTCCCTATTTTCCTCCCTCCCTCTCTCTCACTCTTCTCTTGGTCTCTGCCTCTGCCTCTAATTCTGCCTTTCAAACAAACAAATCTTTAAAATAAAAAAAAGATGTTCAATAACTTTATATTGCATTGGATCAGTACATATCCAGCCCCATGGCAGTAAGAAACATATCCTTGCTTCCAGCTGTCTTCTTAAGAAAAATTGTAATTCGAGTTTCCCCACATATTAGAATACAGCAATTTGCTATATATATAAACTTCACTTGAATCAGCCAAGTCTGGGGCTTATCTTGGCTTTCTAGATAAGTCATTAGCCCTCAACTAATTAAGTGGTCTTTTTTCAGTTTCCATTTACTACAGTAGTGACTCCATAGCACGGAGGGAGCAGGAGTTAAAGACAGTGGAGAAAAACTTCTAATCCAACAAAATCCAATGTAAATACGAACTGTACTATACTATATTCATTTTTTTAAAATTTACTGCAAGTGAGACTTCTAGATTGTGGGCTCATCCATATATGATTCTGGGTCTTAAATACCAAGCTAAATTATGAAAATGATCTTTGAATCTTTGCTGGTCCTTTTGATATTGTGATATTTATCAATCAACACATTAATTTTTAGCATGAAAATCTGGCATTTTAAATTGAATGATAGGTGACCACAAGTGATTTTTCAATAGATTTGTTTTAAGCCAGAAATAGTTAAGGGCTCCCAAAAACACACCAGAGGGGAATTTATGGGAATTTCAAACAAAGACTTTGCTTTAAAGTTTGTTAATAAGAACTAATAAAGCATACAACCCACAAATGGCTGCTTTTTGTCCTAGGCTTCAAAGTACATTTTCTCTTAAAGGATCTAACTCTTAATTTACTCATTCTCTTGTTCCTTCTGCTCAAAGCAGTTTAATCAGGGATAGTTGTACGTACATCTCTAGACACATTTTAAAACTTACAAAGCTGATTATTTAACTCATGTTTATACAAAATGTTATCAAAACCAATTTAGTTCTCAGAGTCACTTGTGAAAGAACTGTATTAGCTATTTTAAGAGTATAATTAATACTCATATTCTGACATTGTCTCCCACCACTACCTAATAACTTTCTGAATACTGAGCGATGTATATACACACTAGGGGATGGAAATTAACCTAAACTCTGAGTGTTATGAATGTTCCAACATCTGTGCCTATTTATGAGTTTAATATCCTCTTGGGCATCTCCATATGCATAGCTACTTTAAATTTTTAGTTAAATCCAGTAACCCTTCAAGCAGATATTAAAGTACAGTTTATGAAAATACATGATGTTTAGATATTCCAGACATGAAAAAAATCTTATGGCTGCTACAGAAATATAATACTTTAAGAGGTCTTAAAAGTATTTCCTACATGTCCTTTTTGCTCCAAACATTAGACCAAGTTGCATTGTTTACAAAAATTTATTCATACAAATTTTACACACTTTATATAACAGTTATCAAAGTCCTAGTTATATATATCATGTGTGTAATAATACTTGGTTAAGATGTTTTTATAATCAGTTGCACACAAAATAAGAGCTTCAAGACTAACATCTATCTAAATTATCACTATATCATAAATTTGCTCCAGTTTAGTAAGGCTCTTGGCATTTCTAAAAAGTATACAAAAGATTAAACTGGGTGATCACTGTAAAATGCTTGCAACTAGCCACGGGAACACTAAATTAGACTTCATAAATAAAAGGGTAACTAGAGCCCTATTTCACCACTAACAGCTGACACAAATACAGAAAACTCTGCCCATTATCCAAGAAACAAATAATTAAGACTAAAACGCAAGCTGATGTGTTGCAGCATTGTAGGGCCACTAAATAGCCATCTGTGATTCGTGGCGATTTAAAAGGCGAAGAAAGGCACTAAAGCTGCAAACTGCATCCCGTGTCACATTGCCTGAGGAGGCTACAGAATTAAGGAAAGATTGATCCTGTACAGAGGACTCAGGCATGGATCGAATGCCTCTGTTTTCGCTGTTTGCAATGTGATCTCCCGGCAGCTTCCACCCCGCCTGGGAATGCAAATACAATTCTGTTTTCTTTGATTTATGACTTCATACTGATCAAATCCATAAAGGAAATGGAAAGGTCCTTCAAAACTTCACAAGCTAAAGTTTAATCTTTTCTTGTTCTTTTTTTTTTTTTTTTTTCAAAGAAAAAAACAAATTTGTGCCTGAAATTTGGAAACTTGGCTGGCTGGTTTATCTGTTGCTGCTTGATCTGGTTGCTGGGTGAAGGTTCTTTTGTTTATACAGATGACTCTATATGTTCAAGGAATTGACAGGAAGCAGACATGCTTTCTTAAGCCAAAAAAGGATACAAAGGTGGGTTTTCAGGGTCTGTTGGAGCTTGCTTACCTCACTGTTGACCACAGATACAGACAGTACTCATACATATGCAGATGAGGTTTAAAGGATTTATCAGTTGTAAAACTGAGCAGCATGTGAACACTACACATTCTAATATGACAAAGGTTGGTTTTATGAAATAAATTTTACTAAGCAATAAGCCATAATGTAGAAAAATACATTTTTACCTACAAACTCAACAAACAAGAAACAAACGGTTTCATATTGAGTGCATTATCACTTAGTGGTAGCTACACAGGGTTCCTAAACTTTACAGTAAGTTCTCGAATCAAACAACAACAAAAAAAGTGAGAAGCATTCACAAGTTTAAGAGAAGTAAATGAAAAATGGTTAAGTGGTACTTAAACAGTGCAAGAGGGTAGGAAGGAGAGGCTTCCAGAAAAAACACAAAGGAAAAGGCTGGCTCCTACAGAGCAGGGTTCAAAGGGGAGAATCCTGACCATTTCACAAGATGAGAAGCATGGACAGCACTGGAGAAAAACACATTGTACTTTGCACCCATTTCCAATACCCAGCGCCCAAAGTCAGGCAGTAGACCTGTAGTGGGACTGGATTTGCCCCCAGCTTTTCAGACCTGGGATAGCTCAAACCAGTCCCTCTTCAGGATCCTCCTCCTACTGCCTTATGCTCTGCCTCTTCCGATATACCTCTATCTCCCTCACTTTGTTCCAATTGCCCTAACCTGGGAATAGTAATTTTCCCTGGTGAATCAGGAGGTACAAAAAAGAGGGCTCCCCATCCTGAGCCTCCTTCTCTGTACAGTTCCTCAACTGTTCACCCAGGGAGCGGTGTGAATTCTGGGGGTAGGGGTGAAGCACAATTTGGATCGAGCTGTTGTTTTATTAGGAGAATTTCCTTCTGGGCTGAGAGTCTAAAAGAGAGACAAATACACAATAAAGTAGAATCAAAGAAAGTTGCCACCCAGCCAGGGGGGACCCTGCCCAGTTGAGTCATTTCGGCTGGGGTTGAAGCAGCCTGCCCCAGAGACTCACCAGGAAGAACGCCCTTGGGCAGTTCTCCAAGTCATTACCTCAAAGTCTCCCTGGAGCAGGGCATCATTGTTTATGTACAGTAGCAAATGGTCAGTATTAATATCTTCAGGCCTGTCGTGGATAAAAATACTATCCTTTTAATTCGAGTTTATAAAAATAGGAGTAATATTCAAAACAATGATTGTCTATTTTTCTATGTATTTTATATAAAAACATAAACAGCTCAGGCGAATTTTCAATCCTTGTGCACACTTTGTATGAATCGCTCTCTATTATATAGATATTCTTTTAATATATTTATAATATATATCAATAATTGGTCCACAAAGTATATCTGTGCATTCTCTAGTGCTTTGTAAAAAGAAAAACAATATTATTATCAAAATATTCATTTAATGGCTTTACTTCATACATAAATACATGTTTGGATAGAACATATGAGCAATGACTGTTCTGTCAGTTTGGAAAACGACTTTTCATTGTGGCAGGGTTTATACACAGGGTAGGTGGTAACTCTTCGCTACAAATACGCTATTCTGCGTCCTTTGTTTTTAACCCTTTGTTTATACCTTTTCCCTAGGACGGCCGCCAAGTATTTCTTAACAGCCATTTGTTTCCGGTAGCGACTGTAGCTGTCTGTGAAAATCCCGTCCGAGTGGCGCTTGGAGAGCGGCTCCAAGTCGTCCTCCGGGCCGCCGCCCAGGTTTTCACTGCAAAACAAAACAGAGCAAACAAAAAAAATAGGGGGTGGGGGTTCGGGAAGAAGGTGGCGGGGCGGGAGACACACGTTCAATACGCGCAGGGGAGCAGGCGGTCCCCACCCTGCTGGGGGGGGGGGCCTTCAGGGAGGGTGTGGCGCAGGGCTCACACCCCCTACGCGCCTCCTCCCTCTGCCCCCGACAGGGCGCAGATGGAAACCCCTGTCTGTGTTCCTCCCTCCCGCCCAAGATTTCCTGGCTCTAAGTACTGCAGAAGGCGCCCGGGATGCGATCGGGGCAAGCAGAGCAGGAGTGCAGCCTAATCTTTCTCCCAGCGCTGCCCTTGGAGATTTGCCTTGGCGCTAAATTGTCCTCAGTGCTCCTCTCACCCCCGACATACAAAGAAATCACCATAGAGCCCTGCGAGCCACGATGGCCGCTGCCGGGCAGTTTGTATCGATCCTGCAATTCCTAGGCAAAGACAAGCACGCCTCTCCTTCCACACGCTAAGTTGAAAAACGTGATAATAATACAAGTCGACAGGCTGTGGGCAATATTTTTCACCGCATGAATTATTCATTGCGAAAATATAATCTGTTTTCCCAGGGGTTTTATTAAAATGTTGCCTTCTGCTGAGATACGCTGCCCGCAAGCCCTATGCTCTGGGTTTGTCTGGCGTGAGCGAAAACTGTTTGTTTCCCTAAGCGTCCAAATTTGGTGATTTGTTTATTTCGATTTGAATTTACAGTAAATGCAATTCCCCCTCTCAAAAAAAAAAAAAGCCACGCTTAGAGGAAATTACAGCAAATCCTCCCGCGAACCTTGGAGGTTTTGAATGACTGGAAGGGAGGGAGGGAGTGTTTGATTTCTTTCTTTTCATTAAAAATGGATCAAACTCCGGTTCGCCTGCCCTCTTTCCTTCTCCCCGGACCTCGCGATCTCTGGACCATACTTAAGGAATCATTTCAGAAACTCCGCCCACGGCAGGTGGCTGGTACCCGCCCCCACCGCGCCCCCAGGGCGCAGACTCAGCCTCCGCTGTACCTGCACGCCCCAACGCAGAAGCCGCGCCTCCTGCCCCGCGTGCGCCCTGCGCGGACACCCACCCGGCGCGCGCGGCATCACGCGTCAGTTAACTCTTTCGCAAACTCTTACCCCATGCCCTTGGCCATGAGAGTCTGCAGGTACTTCCTGGCGGACAGCTGGTCCAGCACCTTGCGGTAGGCCTTGTTAAGGATCCCGAGGGCTACATCTCTAACAGGGAGGCAAAGTGCCCAGGGTCAATGACTGTGCCTCCGACAGGCCGCCCGAGGCTACCCTGCCGGACGTGTGCGCCCCAGGGCTTTTAAGGAGGCAGACTGGGACCCCAGTGGCACAGCATTTGCGAACAGGACTCTTGGGGTGTACGCAAGCGTAGATGCTAGGATACGAAGTTGGTCCTGACCTCTTGGGAATGACGAGCGTGAGTGTGGGCTCCCCACATGCCCAGGAGCGCACTCACTGACACTTGGGCTGCGGAGCACTCCCGCCGCGGCCCTCAGATTCGTATTACACCCGCCTGCTACTAATTCTCCAGCCTGGGAGAAGAGAGGCTTGAGGATCTTTATGAAAAAGAACCTACTCGTTGGGTCACTGTCCTGCACCCCCACCCCGCCCCCTCCGCCCCCTTCGGCGAAGACCCCGCGTGGTACCTCCGCTCCCCAGGGTAGTACAGTGCATAGGCATCATGCAGCGCGGAGGCGGGGCTCCCTGCGCCGGGAGGGTCCGAGTCGTAGAAATCTTGCAGGGGGCTTCCGTCTTCGTCGTAAGCCTCGTCCTCTGGCCTGCGGGGTAGCCACAGACAGAAGGAGTGGTCAGTACAAGTCCCTCCCAGTCTGCGATGACCCAGGAAAAGGGGCTCTTCTTCGTTGAGGTCCCGCATCGAGAATTGTCCTCTCTTCCAGAACAAGAGTGGGGGCAGGGGTAAGGAGAAGGGCACCCCCACCCAAAAGCAGTTCCCACCCCGTGAGGCGGTTCGCCCACCCCTCCTCTCATCGGGAAAGGGTCGTCCTGCGGGGCCCTGGCCTCAAGGAGCCCTGGGAAACCCGGTTGTCTGCACTAACAGCGCACACCTGACCACCGAAAAGGACCGCCCCTCGCCCCGCGTGGTGCCCGAGCCTACTTCAAGTAGCCACCCGCGGGGCCGTGAGAAGCCCTGGGAGACCTCGCGCTGATCAACGCGAAGACCCGAAGTGGAAGGCCTGGAGCAGAAAGGAGAGGGTGGGAGGGTCGGGTGCGCGGCGATCAACTCCGCCAGCCACCCCCATCCAAGCCGCCTGGCCCAGGGGAGCGCTTCCCCGCGCAGATGTAGGTCACGGAGAACCTCTAGCGTCTATTTTGGGCCGGAGAGGATCTGGCAGGAACATGAATAATAGATGCCCCTAAACTTAGCCAGTTTGGCGGCGGTTGGTTTTGTGGTGTGTCCGCGCCCTCAGGTGCTTCTTGCCCGGGGAAATTGCCAAGCACACAGAACTTCGAAAATAGTTGGGAGTGAAATAAAGGCTAGTGAATCCTCTAAATAGTTCGCACTACTCTGTTCGCGGTGGCGAGACGGTGGGACCCGATCCCAACCCCAGAGTGCAGGAAGTCATCAGGGGACCTGATAGCCAGCAGGGACGTGGCGACCTCGGCCAGCGCCTCCATCCGGGATACGGGACGGGAAGCGGTGGGTCAGAACAAAAAAACCATCGCTCTGGAACGCTGGGGAGTCTCGGAATGCGGTCGGGACAAGGAGCACTTTCTAGGCGAGGCTGAACTCGTAACTCCTCTGGCTTTTCCTCCATCCCTGGAGAGGCCACTGCAAGGCGCGCTCAGGTTTCCGCACGCCCCACACCCAGCCTTCCACAGCGACGCGCCTCAGCCCTGGCCGTGGTACCCCGAACCCCGGGTCTTTCTAGCCACCTCCTGCCCTTTCCTCCGCCCAGATACTAGAATCTGAATTCAAAAGGTGGGACTCTTCTCTCTGGCCTTGGCGCACGCTCTAGGGCGCGGCTCACAAGGATGGCTTTTCCGGCAGAGCGCGCGCGCTCCTGGCTGCTCAAAACGCCACCGAGTGCGGACCCAGAGCGCTTCCACTGTCCGGTGCACTGACTAGAGACTCTGGGGCTGCGGTGAAGACCCGAGCCGTACCGACGACTAGAAACCCTACAAGAAATAGGCCAGGATTCCAGGCATCCTGGGTCGGGCAGGTCTGTCCTCCCGGCCCTGCCTGCCTGTCTGCCTGCCTGCCTGCTTTTTCTTCCTCCCTTGCATCCGTTGTTCCCCGTCCCTCACATTCTTTTTCTTCTTTCTCTCAAGTCGCTTTTCCTCAAGCATATTCAGCCAACAGTCCCCCTCCCCAAGATAGTCTGGGGCTCAGAATGCAGTTGAACAAGAACCACTTGGAAATAATTTAAAAAAAAAAAAAAAAAAAAAAAAAAAACTCTTCAGGGGAAAGAATTCCGAATGAGGTGGAGAGAAAGGGCGGAGGAGCGAGAGGGAGACCCCGCCCCGATAGTCCAGAGTGAGCGCTAACAAAGCCAAGTCCGAAAGAGCTTCCGCTCAACCCCCGGCCCGGCTCCAAGAGGCGAAGTTCTCCAAACTCATACTAGAATTGGGGGAGGAAAGCCAAGCTGCCGGCCCTGCCCTGCCCCCTTCCCGCAAGGCAGGTTGGAGGAGGGGAGGTTTCCGTAGCGGCCCGAACCTCACAGGCTCTACCCAGGCTCTTGGGCTCCTTCGGGCTGAGGGAGGAAGCCGAGCCGTCGCGGAGCCCACCTGGATCCTCCGGCTTGGCCAGGCACAGGGACCCGCTGGGTAGCCGAGGCTGGCCGAGGCGCCCTGGGAGCGTGGGAAGCCTGGAGCCGTGCAGCTGCAGGAGAACCGCGAAGAGGTGTCCCGGGAAGGGAAGCCGCAGCTCCACGAAGTCCCGGGCGGCCAGCACCTACCTGATCCCGGGAAACCGGAGTCCAGCAGCTGCAGGTGAGCAAAAGACGCTGCTGTGCATTATGATGCCATAGACCAGCAGGGCCAGCCTCGCTCCGCTACACATGGTCATTCTGCGCAGGACGAAAAAGAGGGCACACAGCCGTGAGAACGCCCCTGGCCTTCCACCCTCCAACCCCAGGAAACTCCCGGAACCGGGGGAGGGAGCGAAGCTCCGGTCCCCCGTGTTGGACACCACTCAGCGACAGCCGGCAGACGCCCTGCCACTTCTTGCTTGCTACAGTTAGTTAGAAAATATACATGTGCATATTCCGAGCACTCAATAACTAACTAAACCTGGTAGGAAGCAAAGCTAAGTCGTTCCCTGATGCCAACGTCCGCGACAAAAACAATCAGTCGTCAGGCGAGTCACTTGGTTTGGCAAGATTTCTCCCCCCTTACCATGCAACTCTTACCGCTGCTAGAAGGTTTGCTGCCAAGTAGGACGGCGGGCAAAGGGCTCTTTCAAGTTTCTGCCCCGGAGTCACAACCCGAGAGGCATCACCGTCTTGCGCTGGCGTCTGAGGAGTCGCAGGAAGGAGCAGAAGCGGCAGGAGGAGCTGGAGGACTTGTTTGCTGAGGCTTGTTCCGTTCAAAAGTTTGCAGACGCACGGAACCCGGAGGCAGCGTGACTCCGGGAGAAGGGGGCGAGGAGAGCGATTTAGAAGAAAGAAAGGAGGCGATGAGCTAAAGGGGATGGAGAAAGGGGGAGGAGGGCGCAAAGTGGCCGTAAGTCCTCGGGGAGAAAGAAACAAATGATTAATGAAAAAAAAAGGAGGAGGGGAGTCAAAGAAGAAGGGAAGGAAGAAAAAAGGAGAGGGCCGGCGGTGCAGCCGGGCTGTGGGGGAGCCTCCCGGGCACGCAGCTGCGAGAGCAGGCAGCGACTTTGCTCCGAGGTCTCTCTGGCTGCGTCTGAAGCTGCAGCTTCTGCTGCTGCTGCTGCTGCCGGTGGTTACGGAGGTGACCGGCCTTCTGCTCGTATTTATATGTGCAGTTAGCAAAAAATCTATCCGAACATAGTTTTAGGAGAGCCCTCTTTGTCAACATCTGCCTGCCTTGCCTTTAAATACAGAATATTTTGTTTCACTGTTGCGCTCCGATTTTTATTCATGAAATGACTTCCTTTTTTTTTTTCAGTCACGTAATGATCGGTATCAGAAAAAGACGTCAGCATCCTAGTCCCTCAAGGAACATATTAACTATTCTGTGCTGTCCTCTTGGATGATAAGATCCGGAGTCATCGACTTCTCCTAAACACCTTTCACTCATACAATCCAATTTTTAAGAAGTCCAATTATTTGGATGGTTTACAGTTTCGCCCATTTCTCAAGGACAGGTAAAGAATACGTAGAATCTGGAGGATGATAGAAAGTTATGTTTTTAACCCTGTCTCTACTGCTTACTCTTTACTTTTTCATCAAGCCCTGCCAATCCGAACTCTGGTATCTGGAATTAAGGACCATCAAGCTCTCCTATTAATCAATTTAATTTAGATCTAATTTTTTGCGTATGTTCTTTCAGATAGAACAATTAAATGTGGAAGTCGTTTTGTTTCTAAAGGGAAATCTTGGAGGATTTTCAGTAAATCTCTAATGAGTCTGACTGTCGTTGACAGTCTGGCTATACCAGTAGATTGATTAGCGCTAAGGCTTCCACCGGTTTGTGGCCTATGGAGCTGTCCAGGCTCCAGGTGCTGAACTGCTTAGGCGCAGATGCTGCAAACGTCGAAAATTGCCACCAGATCTTCTCAATCTGAAGATTTGGCAGTGGTGCTATTAATGTAGCAATTCATTCTCTAAATCACCATGCTGTTCAGATACACTCGCCACCTTGCAGTATTCATGAATGCCCCAGTCCCAAAGACCATCTCTCTTCCTGCCTACATTTGAGTGAAGGGTGCTTTATGTCTCTCCCTGGTCCTGGTATTTTATCTCTAGCTTACCTATTTGGGCACATTCACACCTTCTGTGCCTCTTACTGGTTTTAAAAATTGAAATTGTCTCTTTCCACATGAACTGAAGTTTTAAGAAGCCGAGGATGAGAAATGTTTTTTACACTCTCTTTACAACTTGAGTTCCATTTGGGGAAATAGCAGACAGACTGGGAGAGCACAGGGATTCCCAGTACAAATTCACTGGCTCATGGTTTATAACGGGAATCCCTCCATTAGGAACAGTTAATTTTGTTTTACTGAAAATAATGTGGGAAGACCACATCCATCCTGAGGCTTCCAAGTCTCTGGGAAATTTAAGAAGAGTCCCAAGTTTCCACTCCAGTAAGAGAGAACTCAGGTCTATTTCTTTTAAGAAGGAAATAGAGCCATCAATAACCATTAGTGTGCATTTTAATTATTTGGATCTTACACAAAAACCAGGGGAAATGACAATTTAGTGAGAGTGTTTCCTGTTGCTATCATTTGGCCCTAACATTTAAACAAGTTGTTTTAGTTCTTGCATGCTTTTTCCAAGACATAATGTTTCTCACACTCAACGCCATTCCTGCTTTTATTTGAGCTTTAGTACTTCCTCCAAGAAGACAAAGTTTTGCTCATTCATGACCATGAATGGCCAGAAACTGCCTGCTTCCTCTTAGTTTATTCCTGGCCATGCTCCAGATTGCTGGCCTTCAATGAAGCTCCCAACCACATCTACACGGGGACACATCTCTTTATCCTGGCTACATATGTGCACTGATTTATGTCAGAGTGTTGACACGCATGTGTTCCCCATTTAGCTCTGCCTCGGCAGCAAGCTCGCACACAAAGAGCCTGCGGTGAACACAACCAGATAATACAGCAGAGACGCCTTCTTGCTAAAGTGCCCAAAGCATTGCCAACTGTGGCTTTCCTGTCTTCCAACTTGCTCCACGACAAAGGTGAACCCTATTAAAATCCTCACTCTTTCTTCCCATGCGAATTCCGAAATGAGTTCAATCTGGAGAAATATGTGAGAAAATTGCAAGACTCCTTGTACAATTCACTACTCAACTTTAGTAAAGGGAGCCACCATGTGGGGAGTTTGTTGACTTCACGGCCTATTAAAGAGCAAAAACCACAAACATGATGAAATCCTTGGGGAGGAGGATGGATGCGGGCTTCAGGGGCCCATAAACACAAAACTGCACCTCTGGCATGCAAAAGCCTTGCCACTCAAGTACTTAAACTCTTCCCAGTGTAGGCACTCTCAGTGTGAAAGTGGGGGCTCGGCATCCCGAAAATCACAGACCTCAAGGGCTGATCCCACTCACTGGAGCGAAAAGTCGAAGCAGAAAACCTGAGAGTCTTTGTCACTGGATTTCAGAAACCAAGCTTTGGAGCCCCATCTATTGCACAAGGCAAGCCTCGCCCAACCTGGCTACCCAACAGCTGCCTGGGGCATCGAACCCCCTACAGCCTCATCCGCAGATTTTTCGTTGCCTGTGAGCAGGTGTGAGTTTGGTGTTTCACGACCATTCCTATTCCTGGAAGTTCTGGACCTGGGTCCCTGGGGGAGGAGGGTAGGCAGAGGCGGCTAAGGGAAGAGGAGAAACCAGAAGCTGAGGATAGATCTGCGAACTGCGGGTCGGGAGCTGCAGCAGTCTCACCCACTCTCCCAACGTGAGCGCAGGCTTTCTCTGTTTTCCGTCGGGTGGAAGGGAATATGAGGAGAGCAATGTCAGAGAACGAAACTGCCCTCGCGCGTCCCCTCTCTCCTGAATGTAGGAATTTGCCCCGCATCTACGGGGTTTTTTGTCTGGGACCTGTGGGTGAAGCGAGGTCAAGGCCTGTAAGAGCAGAACCAGCCCGCACGCGCTTTCCAGGCACCTGTACCAAGGTCGGGTAGGCAACCCCTGCGAGATTCAGGCAGACACCAACCTGGAATACGGGGCGGGGCCTGGGTCTAGCATCCAAGGCGCCACACCTGGAAAGTCCCTTGTGGGAGGAGAAGGGTGAAGGGATAGAGGAGTAAGAGAATTGCGGAGAGGCAAGGCAGGGGGCAAGAGTCTTAATTTTGTTCTGTTCTTACCCAGTTTCCCTCCCAAAGGGATTGTTACGTCCTTCTGCAGCGGCTGAGGTTAAGTACGTGAACGAAACCTGAGATCTCCCGTTCCTAAAAACGACGCGAGAGGGGGGCTAAGAAGGGATCAAAGAGCTTGTACTTATTGACATATAATGCAAAGGAATTTCAAGGCTTCTTTCCAACACACCCACGCCTCACCCCAGCCTTCCTCTGAAGAATGTCCCTCCCTCTAAGCTTTTGTTAGGTGGATTCTGTTTAGCTAGCAAAGTTAGAGAAACCTGAGAAATCTTCTCAGTGCTGGGTTCCCCCCTCCTCCACCCTCCAAGGCTCTCTTTGTGTTCTCGGTGAGGCATGGGAACCTACCTGCAAGAAGCTGTTTGTAAGTATTTGTTGGAAATCTTAAAGACCCTAAGTTTCAAGCCCCTAACCTATCAATTCCTTCCTACCCCGTTGGTCCTTAAGAGAAAAAATTGTGTTCAAAATTTTAGCTGAAAATCTAACTAAGGCTTCCCTAGAGTGTTCTTCCCAACACATCTGCTTTCTGAATGTTCAGACCTTGAACCCTGCAACAGCACTCGATTTAAAGAGCTCTAGCCTTTGAAAAAGTAAATTATTGCATTAAGATGACTATCTCTAGGTTATTTACCCAGAGTCTGAATTTTCAGACGGTTTCACAACATTCACAAATATTATAGCATCATTATGGTCTCTTCAGTGCCAAGTTCTTGGCCTTTGAAACATCTCCTCTTGGGAAGTCTGCTTTCCCTGTACTGCACCAAAATCTTCAACTCTTTAAATCCAGCTCCAGCCTTGGGCAAATCAGTGATAAACTAAGTGTGATTTTGCCTTTAAGCAGATGGGTGAGATGAGGCTCAGTTTCCCAAGGTAAAGTGATTTCTGGTAGCAGAAATCCCTGGTTGTGCTAGTAATTTCTATGTGTTCACTTTCCCTTTCCTTGGCTACCATGCTCTTGACCCTGCTCTTTCGCACCACTATCTCCCTGTCCTACCCCACCAGATTGTTTAAACCATATACAAGGGCATGTTTGTACAAAACTATCCTCCCACGTTCCTGTTTAAAAAACACTCAATCATCAGAAATGTCGTACATTCTGATTTCATTGTTTTCTAGACGGTACTTAGCCTAAAAATCGGGTTATAGTGAGCTTTTTTTTTTTTTTTGGTGAAATTTGATACAGCACATCATCCTCTCCTATGAGTGGCAAAAGTGAATTATCACATTGTATTCAATTCCACTCTGAACTTTTTCTCTTCTGACTCTTCCAGAAAATGTGATGAGTAATGAGTCACTTCATACTGATTACACCTGTCGGGAGACCCAAATGTTCTGCAGCAGAGCATCATGACCACCGCTTACTGGACTGCCTGCATCATGCTCTTCTGAACTAGGAGTGGAGTACAGAGCTGATGAGCTCCCCCATAGTGTGTCACGGCTTCTCTGACCTTCAGAACTTAGTGCTTCACCCTCTCTGAAAACATCCAGCAAAAGAAGGCTTTCCAAACCACACAGCAAAGTGCTTCTCTCCAATCCACAACCAGAACTGCATACTCACAAGGCCGAGAAAATTTTGCTGGTTATTTTAAGACACAAAGCAGACAAAAACGGAAAATAGGTCCTAACCTTTTCTGTTGGCTTGGGTGATTTCAAGTACCCCAAATATATGCCATTCTAAGGCCTTACTCACTGAACATTAGTTTGCCGGGTACCAAAAATATATACCCTGGACTTCACTATGTGGCATCTGCCAAGTTCTCCTGAGATTTCCAGAACATCTCTTAAAAGCCAAGAAGAAAGTTCTATAGCAGTCTAAATCCTCTGCTCTTGTATGGCTCAAACGTGAGAGGAGAAGTTTGGAGAGGATCCAGGAAACCCAGTATCCTAAATGAGTTTTTGAGACAGCTGTGATAATATTGGAGGAGGATATCTGTGTGCAAAATAAAACAAGGCTTTTATGGGTAAATAAAAAGAGGATCTTGCTCAAGGAGCTCATAACATTCCAAACCTCTGGCCCCTGGGCTCAGATTCAGCCTTATCGATCTGTGAATATAGGTCTATTTGGAATAATCATGGAGCCTTTGTTTTTTGTTATCCTTATTAGTAGCACTTTGTGGTAATTATATATTTGCAAATACTTTTTTTTCAATAATATTTTATTGCTACCCAAATATACATAGGCATGATTTTTTAAAGCTATCATCTGCTTAGAATACAATTATATGTGTCATGAGTTTACTATTTGACAAGTTCAATTAATATCCCTTAAATTATTTTAAGTCCTTCTTTCTAAAGTGGCTGCATGATTTTGCCATTCAACATTTAATAACAGCTACAATAATAGCTGTGTAACAAACACCTACTGTCCCACATCCTTGACTTACACTATTATCATTTCCATATTTATTTATTTAGTTAGTTAGTTATTTGAAAGACAGTGATTCACTCCCCAAATGCTCAGGAGCCAGCAACTCAGTCCAGGTCTTCCACATAGGTGTCAGGGACCCACCTACTGGCTCTCAGGGTGCACATTAGCAGGAAACTGCAATGTATCAAGTTCCAGGACATGAACCCAGGAACCCCAATATGCAAGTGTCCTAAGCAGTATCTTAACTGCTAGGCCAAATATCTGCCCTATTACTTCCAGTGTTTTATTTATTTGAAAGAGTTATAGAAAGAGAGGAAGAGACAGAGAGAGAGATCTTCCATCTGCTGGTTCACTTGTCAAATGGTGGCAATGGGGGCCGGCGCCTTGGCTCTCTTGGTTAATCCTCCGCCTGCAGCGCCAGCATCCCATATGGGCGCCGGTTCTAGTCCTGGTTGCTCCTCTTCCAGTCCAGCTCTCTGCTGTAGCATGGGAGGGCAGTGGAGGATAGCCCAAGTGCTTGGGCCCCTGCACCCACATGGGAGACCAGGAGGAGGCAACTGGTCTCCTGGCTCCTGGCTTCAGATTGGTGCAGCACCAGCCGTAGCGGCCATTTGGGGAGTGAACCAATGGAAGGAAGACCTTTCTCTCTGTCTCTCTCCCTCACTGTCTATGACTCTACCTGTTAAAAAAAAATGGTGGCAATGGCCAGGGATGGACCAGACAGAAGCCAGGAGCTTCTTCCAGGTCTCCCCCATGAGTGCAGAGGCCCAACCACTTGGACCATCTTCTGCTGCTTTCCCAGGCACATTAGCAGGAGGTTGGATTGGAAGTAGAGCAGCTGGGACAGGAACCAGTGCCCATATGAGATGCTCGCACTGCGGGCAGTGGCTTAACCCACCAGGCCACAGTGCCAGTCCCTACTTCCAATTTTACAGATGAGAAACTGAGGCTCAGAGAGGTTAGATAACTTGTCCAGAGTCACACAGCTGCTACATTGTAATGCTGAAATGAAAATTCAAATCTCAATGACTCCAGAAAGTCTTATTAATCATAGTATGTTATACTGGCTTATATATTTTCTCTACAATTGTTATACATACAAATTCCTAATTTAATATCAACTTTAATGTGTGACTTGACTCAACTGAGATGAAAACAAGTTGTTGTTCATTTTCCAATTTAAAATCACATTTAATATAATATATATCAAATGATATTAATACAATTAAAGCAGATTAAGTTAGACTTCAAACATACTACATACTGTGGGCACTGCTTTATACAATGGACATGCCTCTAAAAATACATGAATTAACAGCATACTACATACTCATATTTACATATGCAAAGTTATTGAAAAGGTATATTGCCACCCCAAGTCATTATTTAAAATGACGGCCTAGAGCTGGTATTGTAGCACAGCCACTTAAGCCACCACCTGTGGTACTAACATCCCATATGGGCACCAGTTCATGCCCCAGTTGCTCTACTTCCAAACCAGCTCTCTGCTAATGCACCTGGGAAAGCAAGAAGATGGGTCAAAGTGTTTGGGGCTCCTGCAACCCACATGGGAGGTCTGGATGAAGCTCCTGCTTCGGCCTGGCCCAGCGCTGGCCAATATGGCCACCTGGGAAGTGAACCAGCAGATGGAAGATCTTTCTCTGTCTCTCCCTCTCTCTGTGTAACTCTTTCAAAATAAATAAATAATTTTAAAAAAGATTTTAAAAATGCAGCAAGTTTCAGTGATGTACTTAAGTAAAAAAAATTCCTAAGTTTATCATTGAATATCCATCAAGTCTCATTAAATCATCATGTAATTCAATACCATAGAAACAATATGATTGTCAATGAGTCAAGGCTCTTGTGAGTCAAATGGGATGATGTATATATTTTATAATAGTAGATCTATTTTAAAACAATAGATCTTAGGCCAGTAGAAAGGAAATTAACATTTATTAAGCTCTTTCTTTAACAGCAGTGATATATTGCTTCTTGGCCTTTTGGCTAAGATCAAGTGTAACAGCAGTGATATGCTCTGTGTTAGCAAACATTGTCTCATTTAATCCTCTTATTGCCCTGTGAGATAGGTATGGTATTTATATTCCTATTTTTACTGATGGCTAGACTGAAACTCTTAAAGGTTAATTAATTTGCCCACAGCACACAGCTAACAATGACAAAGTAAGGTCTCAAATCCAGGACTGATTGTTTCCAGTGCCAGTAGGCTTTCTCTTACCAGTTGGCCTCCTTGCTATTCCTCTATAATTACTGTTATTAGTAAGGGGAAAGAAGCATAACTTTACAAAAAAAAACACGACTCTTTCACAAAATATTTATTTTAAGGCAGTAGCTTGAATTAATTGTCCTTGCTTTTTCCTGACATTTTAAAATAAATGAAGAGGTTATGTGCTAAGCTTCATATCCAAGAACATTTAAAGACGTAAGTAATGGGCCTGGCATTGTGGCGTAGCGGGTAAAGCCACTGCCTGAGATGCCAGCATCCCACATGTATGCCGGTCAATTTCTGACTGCTCCACTTCTGATCCAGCACCCCACCAATGCTCCTGGGAAAGCAGCAGAATATGGCTCACATGCTCGGGTTCCTAAATTCACATAGGAAACCCAGAAGAAGCTCCAGGCTCCCGACTTCTACCTGATACAACCCCAGGCATTGTGGTCATTTGAGGAGTGAACCAGCAGATGGAAAAATCTATTTGTCTCTTTATCCCTCTCTCTGTGTAACTCTGCCTTTCAAATAAATAAAAAATAAAGATATAAGTGATGAATAAGATTGTGCTCCCAGGTAT